GCCATTTATTTAATTGCTATTTAATCATGGTTGTAAGAAGAACTGAGGGGGTACTCCTCCCCACCTCAGCCACGCCTCTAAGGGCACGCCTAGCACCTTTCCTCTGGGATTTCAGGGAGGCGGCATCAAAGCACACGCAGGTGTTACTTCATCCGGATACTTGGGCACCGCAAGGTGAGCCAGGTCAGCGCGACCAGCGTGGGTCTGGCCCAACCTGGCAATAAAGAGCTCACCTTCTTCTTCTCTCTGTCCAATCTCTCCTTGAGCTCACTCAGGAATTGTTCCTTCTCTTGTTCCAGCTCAGTCATCTCTTTCTGCTGAGCTTCCTTCATTTCCAGCTTCATTTTCTCCAGAAGCAGCCGCTGCTGCCTCTCCAGGCTCTCCTTCTCCACCGCCTGCTGGGATTCCAACTCCCCTCGGAGCTTCCGCAGTGTCACCTTATGCTCTGCCCTGCGTTTGCAACAAGAACAGCCGGAGGCAAGTCAGAGCTCGGCACTTTACCACCGGACTCCCTTCAGGAACCAGAGCCGAGAGCAGACGCTGCTAAGGGCTAGGACGTGCAGGCCAGAAGAAACTGAGAAAAAAAGACCCAGACTCGCAAGAGCTCAACCTAGGCCTTGGAAATAAAGAGCAAAGCAGCCAGCGCTGCGGCGCCACGGCAGGGCACCCGCGCTGCCCTCCCAGCCCACCACAGCTTACGTCCCCAGGGGCGGCACACGGCTTTTCACCTGATCTTCTCCATCTCAGCCTCGGTCTCCGAGGTGATTTTGGCTCGGAGCTGTGAGAGCCTCTCAGTTTCTTCCTTACGGACACGTGACTCTTCCTCCTCAGCAGCCTTTGCCAAATCACTTAGAGTCCTGAGAGATGAGCAGCCAGAAAAACAAAACAAAAAACAAATCAAAACAGGTTCAGGAGGCTTTAATATCTTCAAATCACCTCCAAGGCCTACAGGCTGCTCCACTGGCTGCACTCGGGGCGCCGGACCATTCATTCTCCTCCTCACCTCTGAGCCCGGCTGCCGCGGCGGGAGAGGCAGCCCCTGAGCATCACACTCTGCACACACCTGTACAGTGCACTACATCCTCATGGATGGCACCTGGGCTTTTTTTTTTTTTCTCCCCAGGTAAATGAAATCAACTCCTGTTAAATGAAAGCAGGCTCCCAGCCAAGGTACCTGGACACATCAGCGCGTCTGTAAGCGCCACATTTCCCTGTGACACCCTTTTCACTACTGCTTTATTGCCACATAGGCATTTTTCCCTGAGGTGTGATTTCTGTGTCTGCCTTTGCACCCAAGACAGCATTCCCAGAGCATTTCATGTCAAGATACCGTTTCTGGCTGGCTCAGCATGCTCAGAACGTAAGTATCAAGGCCACATGAAATAAAATACAAGTCTGGAGAGAAAAATCCCAGACCGCTATTCCACCTTCACACACTGGCTGGGTTTCACACAGACATCCATGCCCTAGTCCTCAAAGTCTTGGCTGGAAGTCCCTCTGTCGTGCAGTACCCGAGTTCCAGCTACTTCCTCCGGGGTAACCTCATCTCCTCTCCTGCTCCAATTTCCAGTCCTGTTACTACCACTGAGCCCCGGATTTGACCGTCTGCCAGGCGGCAAAGCTCCCAGTGCTGAACTGGAAGCTTTTCTCCGGTTAACCATCAGAGGCAGGTTCGGAGCTCTGAAAGCTGCGGGTGCAGCGCATCCTGCTCATCCCGGGGAGGTGGGCAGCTGCTCTCGTCGGTACCGCAGAGCGCTCTCCCCAGCACGCGGCGTCCCTCCTCGCAGCTCTGCCAGCACACCGCTGCTCCTCCCGACACACGCAGGCAGGGAGCCCCCTGTCCTCCTCCCCAAAAGCCCACAGCTCCACACAACAGCACCGCTCCCAAGGTGGTGGGTGGGCTGTAACCGCACGAGCCCGTGGCCACCGGCAACAAGATCGCAGCTAGGAAAGGCTCGGAGGAGAAACACGAGGGAGATGGAGGGAAAAAGGAAAGTACCTGAGGGATTGTTCTTTCTGCTGATGTAGCATTTTGGCTTTCTCCTCCTCCTGCTGCTTCATCTCTTCCTGGAATTTCTGAATTTTCTCGTTCTTTGCTTTCAAGAGACGCATTTTCTGCTGCTTGAGATCCATCTCCATCTCCCTGGCTATTGCATTCAAGTGTTCTAGACTAGACTCGCTGAAGGAGTCCTCACGCTCGATTTTCATCTCAGGTTGCCTACCGGAAAGGGAGAGCATCTTTGGTCAAAGGGTCACAGAAACTGAGTAACATGAAGGGAACAGCAACATCCCCCCAAACAATAAATTGCATCAATTATTGAACACAGCACTCGGGCCCCAAACACCCCTTGACTTGGCTCGCTAGAGCAGCCCGCAAGGGCAACACGCTCTCCCCTGGTGAAGGATCTAGCAGCTACGAAACCCTGACTAGAGCCGCTGGGCACAGTAGCAGATGCAACGGTACCTGTTCTCAGCCCAGGGGTCGGCAGCGCGCTGCTCATGGACCAGGTATTTGTCTGCAATTGCCATCTAAAGCGTGCTGGGAGTTTGCCAGCTCTAGGTAACAGAAAGCCCTAAGCACTCCAAAAACTCAAACCCAATCTGTTTCTAATTAAGTTTTTTCCGACAGAGAGCAGGAAAATTATAAGGTCTGAGAGAAGCTGAAGGGGAAGGAGGGGAAAATGAAGATTAGTCTAGGAAAAAAATTTTTATTCTTCACTAGTCGAAGCTGGAGCAGCAAGGGCTCATCGTGCTCTGAGCCGGCTAGCGTTAGGCGGAGAGACTGCTGTTCTGCCAGGAATCAGGGAAGTAACAGCCCCAGTAATTTAGCCTCGAGTCAAAAGAAAAAAGGTTCACTTATGCAGCCATTAGCAAAAAGAGTGAGAGGCAGAGGCAAGAATAGCTGGGTTCTGGAAAAATCCTGCTTCGCTAGCACTGCCCCGTGACGCTACATGCTCTGGGCCAACTGCGGTGATGCCTGCGGAAGGCGGCGTTTATCAGCCTGCCCTGCAAGGCAATTCAGCCACTTCCACCCTTTTATCACGTCCCTCCTTTTGCCCCAGTTCTTACTTAAAAAGAGACCCAGCCGACACACGCACATTTACACAACACAGCTCCTAAAAAAGGGAGATCTGTGCTGGTCTCCACATCAAAGATTGCTTCTCCACCACTTTGTCCTGAGAGACGCGCTGCCTATTTTCTCCAATTGCATCTGCTGATCTGTCATTTGACACCGAGAGCAAAGTCAGCACAATCACCTCTACTGAGATCTTCTATCGCAGTGGAACTGCGGGTACGTAACTGCAAAGACCATCAATTTAGCACAGCAACAGCCCACCGGCTTTGGCAGGGAACCTGAGCTCTACCATCCTGCGCTCTGACCCTATTATCCCAAAGCAGCCGACGCCCGCAGCGCCTGCAGAAGTGGGGCGGTTTGTGGGGTTTGCGCCGTTGCCCCCGGTCGCAGCCCCGCGCAGCGAGGGAGCTCAGGATCCGCGCGAAAGCGTTCCCCGAGGGAGGGCAAGCGCCGGCAGCCTCGTCCGCCACAGCGGCGAGAAGGAGGCTTTTCCAAGTACAAAGCGAACGGCTCTTTCTGCATCCCACGGAGTCCTGTGCCACGGACCCCAGGGGCAGAGCTGCTGTTCTCACCCTCCCCGGCACAGACGCCTGGCTTGGCACGCGCCCGCGGAACAGCTGCTCGCGTCTGCACACGGAGATGTTCGAGCTGCGCCGTGCCCACCAAACCGCATCTCCCGGGGCGCCGACTTCACATACCAACTCCACACGCCACCAAGGGGAACAAAAGGACGGAAGCTGTTACGCTTACAGCACCGGGGACTGAGAGGAAGCCCTTACCCTTTCTGCGGGGCAGCAAGCTCCTCCAGATCCATCAATCCCTCCTCCGGCTCCTGGGCCACGGCCTCCTCCAGACTGAGCAATTCTAAAGCGGAACGCTTCTCTTCTGGTGTTCCACAAGCACTTTGATCCCTCTCGCTTTGCAGCACAAAAAGAGGTAAAAAAGACCAGATTAGCACGCATCGGAGTCTGAGATGGCAAGACAGAGAGAAGACGGGCTGGGCCGTGCGGCTGCTCCGGGGGACACAGAGCCACACTTGCCAGCGGCACCCGTCTGCCCAGCACCGGGCTGCCGAGGGCGCAGCAAAGCTCCAGAGCCCTCCCACCCCCTCGGGCCCTGCCAGACCAACAGGCAGCCGAGGATTCAAGGGGCACCAGACTCGAAGGGCTGAATCCCTTCCCTGGAACATCCCGCTCTCCTTCCAGGTCCTTAGAGACCTTCCCCCAGATCCAGCAGCCCTGTTAGCAACACTCACACCGCTGTCCAAATGACAGAGGGAAATACTGGCAGGCATGTTCACATCTACAGTCCTACTTAGTGTTGGAAGTGCAGAGTAGAGAGATGAGGCAAGCACGAGCCACAGGCAGAGAGGAAGAGAGGATGCACAGCTGGGAAGCAGGTACCAAGCGATAAGGAGACAATTCCTGCGGGCAGAACGCGTTTTCGGGGACCTTCACAGGAGCAGCTCCTCAAATCCCAAGGGCACGCAGCCAGTCATTAAGATGGACTGCAGCTTCTCCTGCTCACAAGTTTTCCTGGCACACGCAACAGCTTCTTAGTTCCCAGTGCCCCAGAGTACATGTAACTCTGTGCGGAGGCTAAGAGTTTTGACACGATTCATCTATAAATGCCACAGGAGGCAGCTCTCACAGGGGAGGGGCTCTGGAGAGCAGGGAGCTCACCGCTCAGCACAACGTTTCAACTGCTTTAAACAAATCGCCACACGCAGGCTGAAAATAACTCCCCTAGAGAACCGAGTCCTCACAGAAACTAAGGGTCTGGAAGCCAGCGTTGCTCTGGGGTAACAGCTGGGGCGCTCCAGAGCGCCGTGTCCACCCAGCAGGGTATCAAACAGCCTAAGGCTTGCCCCCGCTCAGCCAGCGACCTGCTCTGGGCCCTCTGCGGAAGGAACTGTTCGGCCCGTGGCTGGACCCTCTGCCCCCAGCAGCGGGCACCAGGCTGGTCCCGGGAGCCTCCAGCTCCAGGCTCTGCCCGGCAAGGAGCTGGCAGCCCAGTGGGACCAGCGGTCACTGAGACTGGGGCTGGCTCAGAGCCAGAAAGCTCTGTCGTTGGGCAACGGCCAGTGGCTAAACCTCCCGTGGTTAAATGCCACAGGGCGCAACACACAATATGAACAGGTTCGGGCCATCTTGGCGAGGGCACAACTTCCACAGCCTCAGAGAAAAGTCAGAGAGCTGTAAGGGAAACAGAAGCAGCTCCACAGCTGGGGCACTTGCAAGGAAATGAAGGACAGGAGTTTTGCTGCCTACCCGGCCAGAAGCTGAAACGAGGCTGAAATCTGCGGAGACAGTGCTAAGGAGGTGGCAGGAGAAGCGAGAGGTTTAGCGGGAAAGACCCTGTGGGAAGCTGCAGCATCTCGGGGGCTTCTGCAGGGGACACCTGCACAGGTTACAGCGACCAGAGCAGAGCAGGGGCGGACAAGACAGGAGAGTCATCAGGAGCTAGAGCTGCCCTCGCCTCCTTCATCGCTCTGTTTGTACCATACCTCTCCGCAGCTTTTGTTCTTTGGCTGTGCTCTTCCTCCACACCAGCTTTGCTTTGGTCTTTTTCTTCTCCCGGCTCCTGGGCCTGCAGGTAAAAGCAAACAGTGTGGAGTTTAGTGGCTCCTTCACCGTCAAAGCCTCTCGGGACTGTACGGCGGCTCTGCTGGAGGGCAGCACCGCTCTGGGCCAGCGCACCAGCAGAGCCCGAGGACCGGGCAGCACCCGCAGGCCAGTGCAGAGCGCCCGCCCGGCCACACCAGCCTCCTCCCCGGCAGGGACCGAGGGCCTCAAGGCCCCCCAGGAACGCCTCAACAGCACAGCCGGGAGCCCTGGGGGCTCTGCTCGGGGCATTCTGTCGGGTGATGCTCTGGGGTTGCTTTTTCAGAATGGAAGGTGAACTCCCTGCCAGCACTAAGCGCTCTGCACACAGGTCCCCTTGCATCTCCAAGTAACTCCCTGAAAAGCGTAGGACAAAAATCTCCTAAAAGAGGCACATCGCTCACACAGGAAAGTACGATAACAGGCTGTGGCCGTAAATCAAACCGATACATCGGCTGCGGGCAAAATCACAAGAGGCCTCAGTCCTGCCTCGCACCCTGGGCCACGGGCGGCAACAGTCTCACCGGCCCAGGGAGTTCCCGCTGCTGACTGCAGAGCGCTGCCAGCCCCTCCGTACCACACCGAGCAACTGCCCTTGGCTTAGTCATGACATAGTAAATGCTTGAAATATAAATAGCAAATATTTGGGTATGAAAGAGCCCGCTGCTGCTTCTCCCGCAGCCAGCCACGGGCACCTCTGTCCCCGCCGCGGGCACACCCGAGCACACGCGGCGCAGCTCCCCCTCAGCGCGCAGCCGGGGCTCCCCCTCCCTGCAGAGCTCCCCACAAGAGCAGCCCCTGCATCAGCTCCTGGGGAGCCCGGGAAGGGCAGGTGAGCCCGGGCCCGGCCACGCGAGAGGGTACGGTGGAGCGGGGCCAAAACAACACAGGATTCCAACCGCAGTAATTTATGCAAATGTTCAGTGGAGCAAAGAGCAGAAGGATTCCCTGCAAGTGCTGTCACCTCCCATCGCATCAGCCTGGCCAGAGCTCTCCCGGGCAGCTCCCCTCCCAGCCTCCCTCCCGCCCCGGTGTAAATAATGACTTCAATCCCCGAGAACCGAGGAGCTCAGCAAATGTTTCCTGGCTCCAGGCGGGCTCGTCACAGCTGCCTGTGACTAAAAGAAGGGAAACGGGGCCGCGATCTTCCGGGAAGGGGGGACCAGGCGCAGGGTAACGCCGCTGAGCCCAGGCCCGGGGCCGCTGCCGCAGCTCTGCTGCCCAGCGTGGGCTCCCAGGAGGGCAGGCCCAGAAATCCCGGGCTGCGGGAGTCTCTGGACACATCTGAGGAGGGGAAGACAGCACCCGCCTGCGGGGACCAAGGGCTGATTTCCAGCCCTTCCTGTGAGGCAGCCGGAGCGCTTGTGGCCGCGGGATGCCCGGCAGTGCCCGGCGGCGGCAGCTCGGGTCTCTGCCCTGCACAAACGCCAGCCCGTGGCCCACGAGGGCTGAGGCTGCCTCCTCCCTTGGCACAGTAGTTCCCGGGGGTCCCCAGGAGGGGCACCCCTCCAGACCGCAGCACGCCCCGGCTCAGACCACGCGCCTGCTTCCAGCTCCTCGGCACCGCCGCGACGCGGGGTGCCGGCACTTCGACCGGGTTAAGTGAAGGGCGAAAGGAGCACTGCCCGCGGGGGCCAGGGCCGTAGGAGCAGCCCACGCCACCTCTGCCAGCTGCCCGGGCCCTGCCCACACACGCGAACCAAAACCCCCGGGGCTGCGCCGCTCAGCGGCTGATGGAGGGGGTCTTCCTTAAAAAGCCGAATATTTTACCAATGTGCGCAAAGCGAGGCAAGCTCCTCGGGTGGAAGTAAGCACATTCCCGCAGCCAGAGCCACTGCAGCCTAGCCTCTGCCTACAGACACAAAAGAGCAGCTGCGGTTCCGCAGGGAGCACCATTTCAAACCCCCCTCTCGCCTCGAGACGGGGCCGTAACAAACTCCAAACGTGGCTGCTCCAGCGAGACATTTGTATGCACGGTGACTGCGCCGCGGCGAGAGGGAGCGGCGGAACACAGCAGGCACGTGTTTTGTTTTCCCTTCCCATCTGATTGCGCTCACTATCAGGCGCAAGAGGACAGGTGTGTTCTCCAGACACAACCTTACAGAGGGGATTGCTCCTCTCTGCGGGACAGGTGGCGGCTTTGCCACTCCGGGTCCCCTCCGGTGCCGCTGATCAACTCGCTTACGATCAGGGCGAGGCTGAGCGAGCCCAGCTGGAGGGACAGGGGCGCCGGGGGGGCCCAGCGGAGCAAGGCCAGAGTGCCGGGGGGAGGCCTCGAGGTGCACAGCAATCTGCCTCGGACAAAGCTGCCCGACCGTGCTCACACCCCAGGCTCGCGTGGTTTAGGAAGCTCAGACGCACGCGCACATACGCTGCTGCCTGTGCCACAGACTCGCTGAAAGGAGCCTATTTTTCCCCCTACATGAAAGCAGGCAAGACAACCAAATGCTTAAAAATAAGCTTCCCTATACCAAAATCTGTCAGAGGGAGTTAACCTCCTTTTCTTCCCATTTATGCTATCGTGTTCTGTTACACAAATCCTTTCCATCTGCTTAAGAGAAAGAAAAGGACAGATATACTCACAAAAGAAGAAAGTAAAATAGACTCTGCTTCCCCCGTTCCCCAGGAAAGCCATTTATCTGCACTCGCGCTGGGGCAGGAAGGCGCACACGTGAGCCTGCAGGCATGCGCCCCTCGAGCCACCTCTGCTCAAAGTTTACGTTCCTTCCGTAGCTCCCTGCATCTCCCCTCTGCAGAAGCAGCAATTAGTGCTGCTCTAACCCCTGACCCTTCGCACTGGCTCCCGCTTGCCTCCGCCAAGCCCTCATGCCAACGGCATCACCCAGTTACCCGCACACAGAGCGCCCCGCGCTGCCCGCTGACAGCGTGGGCCTGCTCACGCAGACAGCGCTCACCTTGTCCACGGGGCTGCCCGCAGCCGGAGACAGAACCTCCGCATCCAGCACCTGCCCGGGAAGGCGACTCAAGAAGCCCAAGTCCTGAGAAGAAAGCAGAGAAGGATCAGCGGCCGAAGAGCACGCACAGGTTCCACCAGAGATCCTGAGGGCAGAGCAAAACCCCAGCGCAGCTTGGAAGCCACCCTCACTGCCCCACTGGCCAGTCCTGTGCAGCGCTTTTTAGCTACTGGCACTATCAGAGAGCTTCACGGGGCGCAGGAGACAGCTACACCGAGACCCAGCCCCGCGTCCCGGCGTCCTGCGGACAGACAGACGGCTCTGCCGGCGCCTCGGCCAGAGCCCCTTGGGTTTCGCCGCTGCCAGGGCGGGGGGGCGCAGGCAGGAGAGGTGGTTCATGCGGAGCTGCCTGCTGGGCCGACGGGGCGCTGGGGAAATCAGGATTCCCTGCGGGTTTGCTCACGGGGAGAGCGCAGCGTGGGGGCTCCCTTTGCTGGCAGCGCCCAGGGAAACCCTCCCTGTGCGGCGGTGCAGGGGGGACGCCGGGGGACACTGGGGGGTCGCAGGGCGGTGAGCTCTGTCGCACCATCAGCGCCCGCTGCCGTGTCACTGACGCAGCAGGCAGGGGTGACACGTGGCACATCCACGGCCTCCCCCAGCCCCGCCTGCTCCCATTTATAATACTGCAGATTTCCCCAGATTTTCCCTAAAAGCCGGCTCCTGCAAGTTGCCCACAAGCTCTTCCCTCTCTGGGATAGCTCTCCCTCCTGGCAGAGTCTCGGGGGGTCCTTGCACTCGGCTGCACACCGCGAGCGTGCGCGTGCGTGCGCACACGCGCCCACAAGCGAGCCCTACAAAAGGAATTGTTTGAGGCGGCAGCCGCTTGCCAACACGCAGGCTCGTGCTACCACCAACAAATAATGATATTCTCAGCCATTTGCTGGCCATGCTGCCTCTGCTCCCGCTGCCAGATGGCAATGGCAGTTTCCCGTGGAGATGAAGAGATGCTGGTGGGCATCTCCCCCCACCTCAGGGCTACCCTCCTGCACAGTCTCCCTCGGGGACCATCAGCAGCCAGGTCTCCTGGCCGTGCAGATTCCCCATAGAAAAAACTGCTGTGTCCCTTCAAGCAGGATATTTACATTGCTTATTAATTCCCTTTTTGCCATTATCTGAGCACAGTCCCAGCTCCAAGTGACCTACTTTTCCGGGGATATTACCTCCCCCACAGACAGAACCTGCTAAGCGCAGGGTGATGCCGCTGCCCCGTGCCACGGCTGTGAGGTTGCTGCTCAGGAGTTGAGGAGCCGGGCTGCGAGGGGTGGGCAGGGCGTCACCTTGCTGCAGGCTCCCCGAGGAATGCACCCAAGGGACAGGGAGCTTCTAGTGACTCACCGTAAGCTGAATGAGCTCGCTGTCCAAGCTGTTACAGACCTGCAAGTCCTCCTCACAGTAGCTGAGCTCAGAAGCCTCTGAAACCTGAGGGGAGATACACATTACAGTCTGTACACGCCTTACTTGCGCAGCTTCCCCCAGGCATCCCCAACACAATGCCAAACGATACCGGGAAGACAAATCTGGCCTCTCTATGACACAGGGAGGAAGAGGTGACTAAACATTGAGGGAAAAACACTGAGGGTGCGACACAAGACAAGCACACAACACCACAGGAGAGCAGGGGCAGGAGATGGTGCTGGGAGGGCAAAGAAGTGCTCTTCAAACACCCCTGACAAAAGGCACTTGCTGTCTGTTCCTCCTGCGAGGATCCCTGCAGCTCTGAGAACTCCCCAACCCACCACACAAACGGGCAGAAACACGGGACACACCGTGGTTCCAAAGGACTTTAAAGCCCAGCCCGCCAGGCCGAGGCGCAGCGAGGACTCCTGCGCCCAGCGCCCGCACGGAGCCGTTCCGCGTGAACCCCGCGTCGCCCGGGGTCGTCAGCAGCGCTGCCCCGGCGTGCCAAAGGCAAGCACGGGCCTCAGTGTTCGTAACAGCCAAGCTTTCAACGTTCAGCTCTTCAGGACAGAGCATGTTTTCCAGGCTCAGCTCTATAGCTTATCATTTCTTACAGACACTGTGCATCAGTGGAACTAGAAAAATCATCAAAATCAGCAGGAAGGCGGCCAGATTGGAAAGAGACAGCTTATCAGATCTCATGTTCTAACGTTTCTGGAAGACACAGCCCGAGAGCGGATAGTGTGTGTCTGTCTGGCACCCCAGCTGCAGGGGCCAGGCCACGAACCCATCTGCACCTCGTGGCAACGGTTCTCCTCCTGCCAGAGGCCGCTCGATGGAGCGCCCTGCCTGCAGTTCCCTGCCAGTTCTCCTCCCAGCCAGTGCCAGAAGAGCGGTGGGCGGGCGGGAGGGTACCACGCTCGGTGGGCTCGAGCTGCAGCTCTGGAGCCAGCCCCGAGGCGCCGTCCTTCCCCGCTCTAACCTCGCAACCCCCCCGTCGCATCCTTCCACGGAGCTGCAAACGTCACAGCTGGCAGCTCGCTTTACACTTTTGCCCCATCTCTGCATAAGCTGAGAGAAACAACAGAAGGAGAGAAACAAAGCAGTGCGGACAGCTGGGCTTGGTGCGAACTTCATTATAAAACCTGCTTGCCTAGTACAGATGGCGGCACTGAAAGCTGAGACTTATTTCTCCTCCAAGACTTGAAACATGCCTCACAGTTCAGGGTTTTTGCCTGTCAGTCGCTTTGGACAGAACTTTGTGTGCGCATCAAAGAACGATTTCCTAGCTCCGCACCGAGGAGGCCGATCGGGGCATGGAGAGCACTCGTGCCCCCCCAGGAACATCCCGCTGGCTAGGAGAGCTCCTGCGCTGACGTAACAGCAAGGAGCCAGTGCTGAGAGCTTCCCTGAGCCAGGCCCTTACAAAGCAACGGGAGCAGCCCCAGCAGCTTCCACCCCGAACCCAACCCACGCAGGCAGGTCTCTTACTTTGCCAGCATCCAGCCTGCTGTCTGTTTTCAGACCAGCTGCTGCTTCTTCCCTCGTTTCGTTCGCTCTCTTTTCGCCAACAGACACGGTGTCGATGGCGGCAGCCAGGCTGGCCAGCTGATCCTCCTCGGCGGCTTCGGCAGCTGGAGACGCGACTGCAGGTTGCCCAGGTCCGCGGGGCACATCTGTCCCTGCTGCGCTCCTTTTGCCCAGAGACGGCAGCAGCTCATCAGCTGAAGAGTTGTCATCTTCCGCCTCGGCATCCTGCTTGCCCGGTAGCCCCTTGCCAGAGAGTTTCCCAGAGGATTCCTCTTTGCTCTGGACAGACAGGCTACCGTCAGCATCTCCAGGAAGGACGTGAGCTGGCGTCGGAGGGCACGCCGCGTCAGAAGCCAGGGAAGACTCTTGCCCTTCTTCAGTGTGTCTTGATTTTGAAGACTCGTTCTAGGCAGCAAGTCAAACACAATTATAACTACAACATCTTTACCCCCTCTCAGGGTGGGGTGCAGGCTCAGAAATAGCACAGGTTCTCCTACAGCAAGCAGCAAAAGGGCAAAGCTTTGGGTGACTTCAAGACCCGTTTGATTTTGTTTCATACAGTCCCTTGCAGAGTCTAGGAACTTCATGAAGATAAATGTACTCATTTCTTGGGCTCAGAGTTTTTATTCTTTCAGTCTGTCACTTTTTTATCTGCAGGGTCTCAGTGGCTAAGGGTTAGCAGTGGCTGCTACAGGGCCCATCCGTCCCGGGAACAGCCTACACACTGCAGCAGAGCCCCTTGGCCCTGTTCAGCCAGAGACACAAACCTGCAAGGGGCTATGACTGGACATTTAACTTCTGCCTGAAATTATAAGCCGAGACCAGTAGGCAGATGTAATCATCCCACCTTCCAGCAGGACAAACGAGGGCAGGCACCGACTTAAGCCCCCGCTCTGAGCTCAGAACGAGACCGTGACCAGCTAAGCCCCGAGACCGAGAAACGGCAGCACCCCCCGGCCTTGGGGAAAACCAACCCCGAATGAAACCTGAGTCACCCAAAGCTTCGCTGCCTCTCCCAGCAGTGGGGAGGCCCACAAAACTCACAATGAAGCGTGCGATAGCCAGGAGGAAGCAGGAAAAGGTTCCCTCATCAGTATGCAAACAAAGCTGCTAGCACGTCCTACTTTCTCACTGTTTTATTAATGCTGTGGTGTCTTGTCAAACATTAGCTGCATCCTGTGTACAGCATGTACCATACACAGACCGCATATTTTAACGATGTATTTTTATCAAAGTGCAACTGGAATGCTGTCAGCTTTAAACCCGGAGCTGCGGCAAACTGAAAGAACGTCTCCTCGCGCGTCATTTGTCTGAGAGACCTTCTCAGGGCTGAGAGAGCCATCCATCAGACCGGAGAGGAGGACAGAGAAATCTAATCACTGGGTACTTTCCAAAAAACCTGCAGCTCAGAGCCTCACCTCCAGTCCGCTGAGGGAGAAATGAAAGCTTACGGCCCATTTCCAGCCGGTGCCTGGTCCGCAGGGCTTCACCAGTGCCACTGCACCACTAGGAGAGGCTCCGCAAAGGCCTCGCTAACACCTTTGTGCCAGCATCCACAAAAACACGTGCAAGCAGCATTTCTTTAGCATCACTCCAGTGGAGGAGACCTCCTGCTTCCTCTGATGCAGAGATTAGGGTGCCTGGAAAGTTGTGCTCCCCTTTGGCTTTAGAGCTTTCCTGGGGACCTCCCTCCAGGAGGGCCAACAGCACCCAGGAAAACTGACGCCAGGTGAGGCCAGGCAGGACCCTTCTGCCTGAAATCTGTCCGCGGGCATTTCCCTTCCAGGAGCACCCACACCACACGGAAAGATTTCTCTCCACGCCAGTTCACCTCGGTTACTAAAATATCCCAGAATTGTTTCTTTAAGCCAGTAGAATCCTACTCTAAGAACAGATACAGAGAACACTTTTGTTAACATTCCACCTGAGCGATGCCAAGTGCAACTCTCCGGAAGGGGGAACCGTGCCCATCGGACACACAGGGGGAAGAGGAGGCAAGTTTTCCTCGTGCAAAAACAGCCTGTGGATTTTCTACAGATTTTGGAGTAGGACGGGTTCTAATTGGCTTTAGCTGATCTTTTCCCAAGCTGTGACACATTCTACCTGCAGCTGAGTGACACTGACTAATGTGACATTTCTGCCTTCGGAATCGCTGCTTCCAGACTTCCAGCGACCAGTGTCGGTCTGGAGAAAAGCACACTGATGCCAGCAGGGCTGGGTTTTGGAGACGCGTCTGATCCAGAGCTCAACGATCAGGATGAGCAGCCGCCACCAAAAACGAACCCTGCTCATCCCAGGAAGCAGGACGACCACGGCACCTCTTCGGACTTTAAGAACGTGAGAGATTACAACAAAAAACTTGACATGCTTTCCACCTTTAAAAGGGAAAAAAAAGAGGAAAAAAACCTCCTCCTGGGTACAGAATGCCTTTAAAGGTGACACGTTCCCCTCGCTCCCTGATTTCAGGCAGTTCTCAGGCACGGAAGCACCGAGAGGGTGGCGGTTTGCCAGACCTCACCTGGGCAGCATTTGCCCTCAGTTTCCAATTTACACCCCTCCGGGCGCATGCGCTACTTTCACCAGCGAACGCAACAGCCCAAGCAACTCTCAGAAGCACCGCGCAGAGGCTGCCCGCTGCACGCGGAGCCTCAGTGACATCGTGCAAGCAGGAGGGGATGTCAGAGCCACTTGTCACCTCTCCCGGGCTGCCAGCTTCCTCTGCAGGCCTCCTCGGGCTCTGGGCATCAGGTCCAGCAGCTAACTGGCCACCACACTCTTCCTCCTCTGCTCTGCTGTTCTCCTGAGGGAGGGGGTGACACACCCGCTAGCCAGAGTCCCCACACACCTTCCCAAGCTGGCAGGACCACCCGCCCGCAGCTGCTTACTGCCCCGCGGGTCACCGCCCCGCGTGCCGCCCGCTGCCCGCGCCCTGGGGCGGAAGTCACGCTCCCCCAGCACGGGCGAGATCAAGGCCACGAACACAGCAGCCACTCCTCCGCTCTCACTAGCCATCCCTCCCTGCACCGGAATTCTACGGGCAGCCGTTCCCTGGGAAGCAGCAGCGCTGCCTCCCGCCCGTGCATCTCCGCAGGGACACCCAAGCTGTGTTGCGCAATGTTTATTTACGGAGGCAGCTCCCTTTCACACCTCTCCATCTGGTGAAGCAGCCTCGCACGGTAATTTCCCACCGCGCGCAGGACCCCGCGACGCCCAGCGTTTACCCCGAGCCTGACCCGTGCAGCAGGCAGAGTCTGAACCTCCCAAGCGCTGCGTCGGGGGTCACCTCTGCTGCCCTGCCGCCCCCTCCCCAGGCACCCACAGACCTCTCCTTCCTCTCAGCCCTCCCCACAGCCTTTTGTATTTCAGGGCAGAGTCTCCCTCGTCTGCAGTGGCTATTCCACCATGGAATTCAGAAAGCAGGATGGCTGGCTTCGGGCCAGGGCTAACCCCCCAGGCGGCCAAGCAAACCACGCGGCCCCTCTCCCAGAGTGCGTTCTGCCTTCTACACACACCTCACGCCTCAAGTTCTCCAGCATCTGACCTGGGGTTGCTCGCAGGTGCCTTTTCCCCAGTTAACTCAGTCCTTGCTCCAGAGGAGCCCGCTGAGGGTGCAGCATTTCCTTCCATCTCTCCTCTCTCCCTCCTGGAGGTTTGTGCCATCTTGGATGCAGCCTCCAGTCCCCCCTTCTGCCTCAGCAAGTCACGAAAACCACGTGCTTATTTCTTTGAACGCAGGTGGTCAGCCCTGACCCACAGGCTACAGGAAGATGGTTTTTTCATCCCGTCACCCCATTATTGTCTAGATTTCCCCCCTGGAGGGCTCGCCCTACGAGCCCTTTCCTCCTCTCCCTTTTGGAAGGAAGCTGGCGAATGGGCTGAGCCTTGCTCATAGGAATGCTTTTCTACTGCCATCTCATGGAACTACAAAAGAACTATACTTTCCACTGGGGCACTAAAATCTTAGCAAGACTCAGATATCACCCATCTGGGTTAACAGAGCCCGGCTGTTGGGCGGCAATTGCCATCTCAAACAGACTCCTGAAGCCCTGGCGCGGCACTGCAATGCCAAGACAGCTCTTTGTTCCTGGCCACATTAACATTTCGGTGACGAATTGGGCCCCGACAGCCTGCTTGTCGTCTGGAGACGAGAGTCAGGCCTTTCTTTTTCACATCTACTTTAGCATAAGCCTTTGCAGTTTCTGCCCAGCACTGTGAATGGATTCTCCAGCAAAGTACTTTAGAGCTTAATTTCCGTAGGCTGTGAAAAGGATAAGGGAAATACTGTAAAAACGCTTTAAAAGAAATTAATTTGCCTTTCAGATTCCGGAAAGGAATTTTCAAAGCGCTGAGAAAGGATTAATGTCAGTGTGAACAGTCGGGCCGAACCACCAGAGCTGCTTGCAACACGCTTCCCATTGTGCCCTCGTCATCCGACGCCTGATCGCTGCTGAGCAAGCGCAGGCAGAGCGCGCGCACCCCAGGAAGAAAAACGTCTGCACGAGGCCACGCGGGTACCCAACTCGTCGCTGGCGCTCTGCGCCCCAGCCACGGAGCTTCTCAGTAGTGTGAGAAGACAGCGTGAGCCGCATGAACTCGTCCCTCCGGTGCCAGTCCTGCACTCTCGCTCCCCAGCCCCGGCGCTGGCAGCGCCGCAGCTCCTCTGCCCCCCGGGGGGGTTTCTCCCGCCCGTCTCATCACCCGCTCTCTTACCTCAGAATTGAAGCTGCCTCCCAGGGCGCTGACATCCATGTATACGTTTTTGAACAGAAGTGCTGTCCCATGGAGACTCTAAAGTGTTAAAAGAGGAGAAGGCCCACACTGAGCCCCGAGCTCTGCAATCCCCCGGGAGGGACTGGGGGGCCCTAGACACTGAACTAAGGCAGAGCCATCGCCGTGCCCCAAGGCAACAGCCTACGGCCTTTTGAAAATACATCATGTCAGATGTTGATTTATAGGAACAACAACAAGAAAACAGGATTAGATGCTTTTTGCTGACCAAACACAGAGGAAATGCAGCACAAATTAAGGCCTGGTGTCAAATGGAATGACCACGGTCAACCAGCTATTAGCAGGGGAGCAGCAGCTTTTCACTGCTGGAGGCTGCCTGCGCTACAGTTGGTGACACGTGTTAAGAAACAAGGCACACAAACTACCTCATTCCTGCTTTCATCCTCTTTGTTCTTCCCGCTATCCAGGCTCTCCGTATCCAAGGAGCTCTGCTCTTCGCAGCCCAAGCTCAGCAACTTCTTGGTCTGGCTGGTGGGCTTACAGGTCTCTGCAGGCTGTGAAGTCAGAAAGAGAGGGAGGTGAGAGGAGAGGCGGGGAGGAGGGGGAGACACAAACCCACCGAGACGCTGGCCAGCAGCAGGGGAGCTGCTGAATTCTGAGAAGGTGCTCGGGGTGACGCTGCCGCCCCTGCTCTGCCAGAGCCACGTCCCGCCGGGAGACGACACGTTCTTTACGAGGCCGCGCCAAAGGGGCTCCTGTCCTCCATCTGCAGAACCTGCCCGTGCCTCAAAACACCCATCACCCGAGACCAGAATAAAGCAAAGGATTTGAAATCTCCACGGACAAGACTTGACTCAGCAAGAAGAAAACCTTCGGTGAAGGTGTGGAGGCGTAAGACGTTCTGCACGTACACTGTCTCGTTTTCCTTTCAAAGGTCAGTTTGGTACCACTTGAGACTTCTGTTTTGTTGACCCAAAGGTCATTAGTCTATAAATAATCATTCAATGTGACTGTAAACCTTACATTCATCCAGAAAATTGTTCTTTTCAACTTTTTAGTCTCAAAGTTGAGTGAAAACATTACGGATTAACTATGTTATCTGTACTGTACGTTATGCCTCATCTGGATACAAATCAAAGTTCTACTAAAGTGACGTTTTTCCCCCCCCCAACAGTAATTGAATCAATTCTTTATATCTGCCTGACATCGCAGAAGAAAGCTTGCCACAAATTTAGCACTGGGCTCCCTAGAAATAACAACAGACACGTAGTGAGAGACCGAGTAGGGAAGTGGCTTTTTAACAGACAAAAGCCTTTCTAAGCTGACGAGAGATCACAAATAGTGTCTCAGCTTCTCAGCTTCTCAGCACCACCATGGCTGCGACTTTTGCAGGGCACGGTCCCAGAGCAGACGGAGCCTTACCTGTGTCCCTCCTTTGGCCCCGAGGCTGGAGTCCGCCAGGCTGGGCACGTCCAAGCTCCGGGCGCTGCGGAGGGACGCGCTGATGGGGAGCAGGGGCTGCTCACGCTCCTCCTTTCTGAACGGGAGGAAGCGCTGTCCTGTGAGAATGCTGGCTGCTGACCCTAACCCACCACCGCTGACCCTAACCCACCACCGCTGACCCTAACCCACCACCGCTGTGGGACTGCCTGTGAGACCCCACAGGCAGCGACCACCAGCGCGCGAGACATGCCAGGAGTAGCGGTTGGACTGACTCGCATCTTTCGCCTTCCAAAGACCCGCCTGAACGTGGTCGTTTACGTTACAGCACTTCGCCTGTCTGCCCCGCCACTCCGTGCAGCGTGAAACGATGGTGAGAAGCATCCTGCTCGCCACAAGCTGCAACCACCACCTCCCTTTAGACCCAAATCCAGGCTGCTTCCTCACCTCACACCAGCGGAGAAGCCCCAGGCAGCACAAAGCGGCTTCGCCACCACACATCGGCAAGAAGCTCCTGAACACACCTCTCCCCCCCAGACCCCGGCCAGAGCCCGCGGAGCCATCTGACAGCCTGCCGGGCTGCCTCCCCCCAGAAGTGGGAGCGTTCTCTCTGCCTGTGTGGAATTCCCACCCACGGGCCTCACCCCGCAGTACGCGGCGCAGGGTAACGGAACGCCCAGCCCCTCTGCTCTGTGTCCGTCCGAGATTCGGGACTGAGAACAGAGCGAATTCACTCGCCCGCGGCGGGACAGGGAGCAGTGGTAGCACAATCCATCCCACACCTGGCCTTAACCCGTTATCTCCTGCGGACGGCCACTGACGAGGTGTGGGGAGCAGAGGATGTCAGCTGCCCTTCAGCAAAGACAAACTCGCTTCCATTGGGCTCATGAGAACTTTCGGGATAAGCTGCAGTTTATCTGATATTTATAGTCCTAATTCTTAGCAGCTAACCGAGCAGTGCCACATGCTGGTAATTAGAAACCTGAGCTGGTGCCTCAGTGGAGCCGCAGCTGGGTACCGACAGAGCACAGCAATTCATTAACATCACACACAGGGGCCTTTTGGTGCCAGTTTTTCCCTCAAACCAGGAGATTTGGTAAATTCTTATTAAACCAAGGCAATCGCTTATGGACAAAGACAAGAAAACCTCCAACATTATTCCCAGTGAAGGGCAGGATCCTGCTATAGGTAACAGAGGGGAAAAGTCTGGGCAAAACAGAGTGAAATGGGCCAGCAGTTCACAGAGGAAGGGGGAAATTGTGTTTATCGCTGGGCCCATCGCACCCCTAAGCTCCCCCGGTGTCCTAAGACCACAGCAGAGGGGTCCAAGGTCTAAGCTGCGCTCAGGTAAGTCAGTGCTGCACCGCCTGCCAAACCATGGTCTGTAACACTGGGAATAATCCTTCTCTCCTTTGAAAAGCCGAGTTCACTCGGACTTTTTCCTGTTTCTCTTCCCTTTAAGAGGCAAGAGAGCCCATTTCTCAAGGTACTGGAGATCGACGTGGGAGAGCGGGCTGTGACTTCTCATTTCCCTGTCACCTCAACCAACCCAATCGCTCCAGGACTTGAGATTCAGCGAGCAAATTTAAGCCAGAAATAGCTGAATAAGCTATTGCCCCTCAATTTAGATTGCGGGATCCCCAGGCAAGAGGCTGACTTTGTAGTGGGCTTGCTACGAAGAGCCTTAGAGCCAAAATTTAAGATGATTGTCTATTGGAAGTTGCCATCCCACTTAATTTACTGCCCATCCCTGTTTGGATTCAGAAGGCACTTCATGTCCTCGCAGAGCTCCAACAAGGTGGGAACTGTGCAGCGTTTGCTGCGCGAGGAAGACCACAAACACCCTTTTTCAAGCTATATCCCCTCAGCTTTAGGAAAACCACTGTAATGCCACACCCATTTATGTGACCGCCAACAGGTTTTCGCCTCTTTTCTCCTGAAAATTGGCTTAGAAGCAAAATTTCATGCTCTCAGTTCTGCTGAATTGGTTACAAGGAAGGGCCATTGTGAAGGACTTACTCCTACCTTGTTCCCACCTGCTCCTTTCCCAGCATCTATCTCGCTGCAGCTGGCTGCAGTCTCTCTGCTCTGGGTCATCTCTGCTTTCCTGTGCTGGACAAGGGGGTCGCTGCCCCCACACTCAATCCAATAATCTGCTTTGAATTTATCTCTCTGTGCTCTACAAGCTTGATCTGCCCTCCCGTTGCCTCTCTTCACTCCTCTTTGCACTCCAGCACCGTCAGACTTCTGGGCAGGGCGTTTCCCACCGAAATCCACCCCAAGACCAAGGTGTTCAGGTGCTGTCCTGCCGCCCTTCACCTCCTTGGAGCTACGGTCCCTCTCACAGCACCAGGCTGGACTGGGTGCCTGCGGCGAGGGTGACCCCAGGACGGAGGCAGGCAGCGGAGGCTCCTCTGCAGCAGCGTGTGTGTCCTTCTGCCTCCCAGGCTTGTGGTGTGGAGAGAAGCAACGGCTCAGTCCCATGACCTGGAGGGCGTTATCGTCATGAGATTTGGATGAGCTGCTGTTATCATACTCTGATATCAGATCGCTGTCTTTGTCATTTTTCCAGCTGTCTTCAGCAGATGAAAAAATAAGTTTTGATATAGGATCCAATGCAGAGCAAAGATGCGCCTCCACTCCTCTCTTTGCAGCCACCCCTTGGCAGTCGGGTGCTACCTCTGCGATCTTCCGAGAGACTGCGGGGTGGCTCTCCAGCACGTCTTTGCTACTGTCTGCTTCCGTACCGGCTCTTCCTCCCGTCAGCTCTACCTGCTTTAAACCCTTGCTCTCAGCTCTGCCGGTGATCTTGTTGCTCTCATACAGAGCGATGGCTTGATCCAAAGCCTTGTCCTGAACTTCTGCCTTTCTTCCACTCTCAGATACCTCGCTGTGGGATCTCAGTTCTTCTTGAGCATCTAGAACATCAACTTCCTCCTGCAAGCTCCAGTCATTGGTGGGACAGACATCAGAAAGAGTAATATCATTGTTCCCACAGTAGAAATTTTCTTTTTCTCTGGCTTGCAATCTGCCTGGTTTTCTTTCCACATGCCACTCCAGTCCTCTAGATTTCTCTCCAACTGCTAAGTGATCAGAAGGCTTATGGACATGCTCATCCTTCTCATCTTTCATCTTCCGCTCTTCTTTCTGCTCTTCATCCACAAAGAGTACTTTTTCATCAAAGGCCTCTATCAGAGTTCTGACATTCTTCAAGTCTGGTGAACAGGATTCCTTTGACACACACAAAGATTGCACTGGTAGACTAACCTCTAAATCATCAGACTCAAAGTCAGAGGCAATGCAAAGCTCTTCTGGTATCTCTGAAGGTGTATGTTGGTCCTGGTGGATGTCTTCATCTTTGCTGCTAGAAGAGGGACTTGTTCCTAAATTTTTCTTCACATCAGGTGAGGTCTGGCACAGACTGTTCAACTCTGGAACAGGCAAGGGACTCAGCTTGCTTAGCCACCTGCGTGCGGACGGCGTCCTTGAATCCCCGAGGTCTGACAGTCTCCCTTTGCCTTTGTCAAGGCAGCCCCCAGCTCTCATCTGGCTACTGGGATCTGGGGCAGGATTCTCCTGCCCCGGGGCCAGAATAGCGGGGGGTCTTCCACAAGAGACTGCTGAAGGAAGAATCCCTGGCTGCATTCCCTAAGTTGGTAAATATTAGCAAATAACTAAAACTTATCAGAAAACTTGTCTATGTACCCTTATCTATCTAAAGTAGAGATATGCATTTACTTAATACACAATTTCTACATAAATAGGTGTGTAAATTTTTAAGCACTTGAAATTACATGCATACATATAAAAGAAAATGCTGAAAGTGAAGGCTGGAGGCTTTCCAGGTGGCAGAGGTCTATGCCTTGAGTGACAACACAAGGCACCATCCTTCCCCGAGCAGACCGACCTCGCTACCAGCAAATGGGAGGTGTGGGGGGGGATTTGCTCCCACTTGGGATCTACAGGGCATTCGGTTACGCCTGCAGGTGTCAAGAGCGAAGCAGACTAACTTCCCACAGCCGAACCCGTGTCCCCTGCCTGTGTGTCACAGCAACACGCGTGTGGACATGGCACAAACACCATTTGTTGGCCTCTCCGCGGAAGGAATCTCGCCAGCACTCAAATATCTGCTGCTAAGAACAGCACCAGCACCCTCGGCTGGTACCAAGGCTGGTGCCGGATCCTCCTCGGCAACAGCATCACCCCCCTCCAGGTGTGCGCTTCCAGACCAAAACTTCACAACTTTGGTGGGTTTGCGACCCCACTTCTGTTGGATTTTCACCAAACCCAGAGTGCTGGACAGGCCCCCTTGTCAGGGGATCGCTGTTCCGAGCCCAAAGCAGCACCAGCGCAGGATCACCCTCTAGTTCATCCCCCGCCCAGCCCTCCCCAGAAGGGCCACAAGCAGAATCTACTCACAATGGGTTGCTTCAGGGACTGCTTCTCCTTCTTCTCTTTCTTCTCTTTCTTTTCTTTCTTCTTCTTCTTCTTCTCTTTCTTTTCCAAGCTGCCCTGTGCCAGCAGTTTCTCTCGCTCCTGAATGACACGCTTTTTGTAGCGATCATCAGAGGGGTGGTCCCATGTGGACTGGCCGCTACTGAAGTTGAAGTAATAGACATCACCAGTGATATCCTGGCTGCGTGGCAAAAAGAGAGGGACAAGGTGACAGAGGACAGGCACACAGCTGCACGCGCCATACTGGGTCACATCACCACCTTAAGCTCAGTGGAGCGTGACACCCCCAAGAGCCCAGAGACACCTCAGTGCGGGGCAGCAGCTCTCCTAGAGATTGCTCACACCCTTCTCCAACTTCCCCAATGCTCTTTCCCCTTCTCCCACCACCCCAGAAAGACTCGAGCTCCCCTGTCCCTGGGAAGTACATCTCTTGTGGCTTCCCCCTGCTCTGCCGCCAAGACGGGCTGGGCAGGAGAGGCCACGGATCTCCGCGGGCAGCCGCTGCCCGAGCGCTTACCAGGGCTTCCACTCGGGTGGCAGCGGGGCCAGGATGCCCTCCCTGGCCAGCCACAGCAGCTCTGGCTCCTTCTCAGGGTCAATCCCGATCTCCCGTGCAAAATCCAAGATTTCTAGGAACACAGAAGAGGAATCTGTGGAGATGGTCTACACCAGGCACTACACAACAAAGCCAACCTCTGCGGCGAAAGCTTTGGGAAATCCTGATCCTGAAACGAAGCTGCTCAAAGCTGCCAGCACAGCCCCACGTGTCAGTGAGCGCGTCCCACCAGGCTGGCAAAGCAGGGAGACAGGCTGCAAAACGGCACTTACTTTTGCCACCAAAAAGCTCATTTTTCAGCTCTGCCTTCCATGAAATCCCATTTATTTGACCCTCTCCACCCACACTCCCCCCAGTTCCTGTTATAAGGCCCCTAGAAGCGACTCGCACGCTCAGATCCCCTGTCACAGCTCCAGGGCAGACAGGCATCAGTTACCTTGCTCACTGGGAATGTACGTCTCATCATAATCTTCCTCCAGAATGATCTGGTTACCAATGCACACCTTTGGTCCTGACATGGCTCCCAGCACCTGGTCATGCAAGGGAAGTAACACCAAAGCCCAGTGACCAACTGCGCGCAGAAATAAAGCTTCCTCATCCCACGGCGCGTGGCAGAACCCTGCGGGAGCCCTGGGGCTGGGGAGGGAACAGGGGGGCCGCCACGTGCGGTGCAGACGGGACGGGCAAGCGCAAAGGCAGCCACGAGGGATGGATCCTGATAAGTTGCCCTGGTCACAACACCCACAGCCCGAGCCACCCCCAGGAAAGGGAAATGTGCAACGGGGCAGAGCGCTCCGCTCTGCTGACAGCGCCCTTCCACTGCACACAACAAAACCCAGTCAAAGGCCTTTCCTGGGGTGGAAACAGGCAGCAGAGCTGAAGCAGCGCAGAAGTTACTACCAGCCCCCCCCCCGGCTTTCAACCTCTTACAAAGAAGATGAGCACTTGCTCCAGGCACGTTTTAAACAGGCAAAAAGTAAGGTGAAATGAGAAAGGGAAGAAAGAGAAAGCAAGCAAGCAGTTTTCCCAGAGCACAGCACAGCTTTTCGAGAGCAGTCCCCGGGCTGAATCAGCAGTGCCCAGGGCCAAGGCAGCTCCTCCCTGCGCCCTGCTCGCCTTCCCAGGGGAGATTCCAGCAGCTGGAAAAGGATCCTGTGTCCCACCGCTGGGGCACTGCTTTGCTCTTTAACTCAAAGACTGTAGGCAGTGACTTAGTCCTGCCACAGCTGAGCCCTTACAATTCACAGTTTTAGGTAGCCACAAAGTCACCTCCCCACCCCAGACAGCCCCAGCTGTGGCTCGGCACGGCCACATCTGGCCAGCATTCGCCTCACACAGCACATGGGGAGCGCGGCCAGGAGGCTGAGCAGGCTCCCCGCAGCTGCGCAAGCACCGGGGCGGCCGGGACCGTCCCCACCAGCCCCACCGCCAGCACGGCGGGATGAGCGGGTCAGAGCAGCTTTCTCCCCCGCGCCCCTCCAGGCACAGAGCGCCCCGCTGCCCTCCTCCCGAGGTTCAGGAGGCTGGGGCGCCAGCGACGGGAAGGGTCTGAGCAGCGTTAGCACACCCGGGGCAGGATCACCCCACCGCCGCGGTAACTACGGCCCGCGCTGTCTTTGTAGCTCTTACGTAAAGCGAAGTTCAGAAGCAGCAGTTAATCCTGGCAGCTTCTAGGCACAGCTAATCCCAGGACGCGCCAAAGCGAAGCACCAACGCCGCGTTTGAGCCGCTCGCCCTCCCAAACGCACCCGATTAAAGCGTTTGGACTTGGGCAGCTCGCTCGGGGCCTTCTGGTCTGTCTGTCCTCCCTCCCCGCGCCGCTCCAGCCGACAGAGAAGGGATTCACTTTCCCATCTCTGGCTCATACAATGTTTTCACAAGACATACAAGAACAGTGTATTATTTAAACAAACATAAGCTTCTCATAAACTTCTCATTTATCTTGCAGCAGCTGCCTCTCACTCACACAGCGGCAGCGGCGTCTCACTCACACCCTGCCCCTGCAGGCACACAGACACACAGCAGCGGCTGCTCTCACTCACACAGCGGCACACAGACACTTAAAGGGCCCATCACACTTTTCACTCATACCACGAAATATACCGAGTTTAAACAATCACCAAATCCGTTTGTAACATATATCATAAACCATTAACAATGAGCAGTCAGTTCAAAGCCAGTATATCCACCATTAGTGCACTATACAATGACCTGAAGCAAGATCCTGCAGGTGACGGTAATTACCAGTACCCTGGCCAAAATGCAAACTGCCTCTTATATACCAGTCATCGGTAGTTTGCCCCAAAAGATCTTACTTTCCTGCGGATTCCCAAAGCCAAAACCAAATGGGTATACCCCCTCCTCGGGACTGAGCCGTGCGCCAGACGTCTCTGTGCGTCTTACCAGCAGCCCGTTACCCTTAAACATACCTCTGTCCGCGAACCAGATGGTCCTTGTCTGCTCTCTCATTTGACAGCTGGGAGCGGAGTTCCTCTGAGAAGAGCTTGGGGTGCACCTAGGACGTCCACCCTCCAGCAGTGTCTCGGCAGCCGAGCAGAGATAGGTCCTATCTGGGGTGCCAAGATGTTTTGCGGAGAAATCACTCTATAACTTTTGGGGTTATAAAGTGGGTATGTTTATTCAGCGCTGGGCGCATGGGGGATCGCTCCACCACAAGCATGCGCATCGTTTGCAGCTCCCGTCCGGCTTATATGTTACAAAACAGTGCATATTCATAAAACGCCTATACATATACATAGTCTACCCCCGCCCCCCCTCACTTCTCATGGTAATCAGGTCTCCTCTTCTTCTTCGCTGATGAACTTTTCTCCCTGTCGCTCTGCGCAGCCTCAGTTGTTGTCTGGCTTTCTTCCAGGCCAATGTTTTGGGGTTGTCTGTTTTTCAAAGACTAGGAGGGACTTCTCTTTGGGCTAGGAGTTAATCGCCCAGCAACGTTATCAATACTTGGTATGTCTTTTCGAACAGTCCCATATGCCTCCCCTTGTTTTTGCGCAGGCCTTGCACCAACAATCTGATTGTTTAGACTCCCTGTCTCAGTGTCACTCACCCTGCGCCACCCTGCCAGTTCCTTGTCCCCCTCAGCAGCCTCCCGTGAGCAGCCCGGCCTCCACCTGCGCCCCGGCCACCGCCCGCTCCTGCTGCTCCGCCAGCCTGGCTGCCACCAGCTGGTTCAGCTCCTCCATGGTCAGACCCACCATGGTCCTCCAGGCCATCTTGATCTGCTGCAGGATGTTGGTGAGCTGGGCCCTGCGCAGAGAGCGGCCCGTCAGAGCGGCAAGGGGGCCCTCCGAGCGGGGTTCTGGCACCCCAAATCTCTGTGGGAAGATTGCGGGGCCCCGGCGCGGCTGCCCTTCCCTGTGCGTCGCCACCCTCGCTCCACATCTACTTGTTGCACTGCGGAAACCGAGCCAAGAGCTTCTCCAGCAGCTTCTCCAGCTTATCGGCTGGCTGCAGCCTGTGGAACTCTGGCGCAACGCTGACCCTGCCCAGGCCAGGCGGAGGAGGGATGGAGGCGGCGGGAGGCACGTGGGGCCTGTGCTTGATGAGAAACGATGCCACCACCGGACTGTTTCTTCCCTGGGAAGCGGGGAGTGGCGGGGAGGGCTGCTTGGGCCTGGAGATGGCGGGGTTCGGGAGGGGAAAGGAGAGCACCCGAGGATCCGTGCTCGGCATCACCATGGGAACGGGGACTGGTCCGATGGGAAACAGGAGCCGGGGAGTAAGGGAGGGGTTGAGCTGAAATGCCGTCAGCATGAAATCTGTCTTAGAAGGAAAAAAAGAGGGGAGGGAAAGGCTGGTTAGAAGAACCCACCCGAAGGCAGCATTCCTCCGCAGCCAGATGGGGCACGGGCCGAGCCACAGGCCCCAGCAGCCGTTCTCCCCACAGCCAGGGGCAGGCTCCCCATCCCCGCCAGGACGAGACAGAGTGGAGGCAGGCAGAGGAGCCCTGACACGAGCATCATGTGAGCTGTCCCCAGGGACCTGCAGCACCCACACAGCAGCGAGCGGCGGTGCTGGAGAGGCACTCACCTCGGAGGGCAGGGGGGACAGCATGGGGGTTGGGATCTGTGGGAGGCTGCTCAGCTTCGTGCCGTTTCTCACCATCTGAATGTGGTCATTGAACTGATCCTGGCAGGGAGGAAAGAGAACAGACACGTTTATCCGAGCCTGGGCCCGGGAAGTTCTGCGCATCATGCGCCTACAACAGGCAGATGCCCCGAACGGCTGCCGGCCCTGAAGTGGGCGCAGTCTGGTTCCACAGGAGTCAGGAGAATAAAAAAGGACCTGGAGGGAGAAAGACAGTAACAGCCTCGGCAATCAACCTGACACAGTGCTTCCATATCACGGGCAGGGGCCTCTGCGCCCTCCCCCAGGCTGGTGCCATCCGGCGGGAACTTACTCGGACTCTTTCCCTGGTCATCCGTATCCTGTTCAGCCTCATCTCCCACTCCTGCTTTGGCCTCATCGTCTCCAGTGTGGGCGGCGCAGACCTGCAAGCACAACTGAACTTTCCCACTTGCAACTGTGCTCAGTGGGAGCAGCTGAGGCCCCACACCCCATCCTCCTTCCCCCTCAGCACTCCCTGACTCCGACTGGGGGGGCAGAAGCACGGGCAGAGACGCGGCAGTGCGGGCAGCTCCAGAGCACGGCGCAGCTCCGGCGGGCAGACAGTGCGGGGGGATAGGCACAGCCCCACACCCCTCATGCTGCACTCCTGAACCCTGTTATTTTAACACAAAAGCCACAGGAAACCTCAAACTACTCTGGTCAAACCTCCAGCATCACCGAGGCAGAGGAGGTGGGCACGGAGGGACCCCCAAGCTCCCTGCCCCTTCTGGGACTACACGGACTTACTTGAGGTAGGTGAGGTGTAGCTCTGCTTCTTTTTCTGCTTCTTCTAGTTTCAGCACCAGCAGCTCCTTCCGGCTCTCTAGGGACAGGATCTGGCAGAGAGAGGCCCCCCACGAGGAGCAGCTTTCGTACTACCTCGTTTCTCGCTGCCAGACTGTGAGGGCAAACTCTTTGCTACCACACCAGGGCACCGCTCCCAATCACCAATTTTACCCGTTGTTATTATTACAATTTTACAACTTCCACGTTTACTGCAGCAATACGTGTTTATCCACCCCCTCTCTTGTCCCACCGACGGCTGCTCAAGCCTCGTCCCTGGCTGCTCCTGACTTCACCCAATCGTTCACTGCACCCCGGAGACTTAAAGAGCCTCTTCAGCCCCCTCTCCGCAGGCAAGGGGGCACCTACTAACCTCTGCCTTCCAGGCCCGTTCCATCTCCTCCAGAATGTTCCTGTTGATTTCATTGTGCTGGTTCTTCAGCTTATAAAGCTCCATCTCCCACAGCTGCCTGCACAGGCCCAGGACATGTCCACTCAGGCTCAGGATGGCCGACAAACCCCCCAAAACCCTGTCGACCCCCATAGCTGGGGGACCCGCAGAAGGGCGGCAGCTCCCACAGCCCGGCCCTGGCCACAGCTCCTGGAGGGACTGGCCCGAGCCCGAGCTGCTGCCCCACAGCCAACACGTGGGGCGAAGCGAGGGGCAGGGAATGCCCCAGGCCCAGCGCTGGGCAGGGCCACACGGCTCCGAGCCGGCAAATGGGACTTGGCCGCTCGGATCCCGGAGAAGCTGAGTCCGGCCCTTTCCACCTATGTCGCATGAGCGTCTGTCTGCACCCGGAGCTTCTCCACCCAGCTCTGCAACACCCGAGTGGGCCCGAGTTTAGCCGGGCAGCTGTGGGGAACCGAGAAGGAGCTTTCCCCTAATTCTGGGAAGCTGAAGTTCAGTCCAAGGTAGCAGCTTCAAGCCGAGTCAAACCACTGAGTGTAAACTCTAACCTTAGGGGCTCATTATGTCACAAGTACTGAGGAGCCTCTTGTGACCAGGAGCAAAGAGGATTTAATCCAGAGACTGGGGGGCACCAGCCTGCTGGAGGAGCAGCTCAAACCCTCAGAGCTCTCTCTAGCCTGCCCTGCTGGCAGCAGTGGATTTGCTCCAAGGCAAAACAAGTGGAAGGAAAAGATCATTCCTCAGCAATAATCTGCTAACAGAGAAGAGCCTTACTTCTCGTCGGACTGCTCCACGATCAGAGAGGCAATCTTGTTTTCCTTCTCCTCCTGCTCCTTCAGCAACCTGCATGGGGGAGGGAGGACAGATGGAGCTGCCTGCTGTGGCGGCACCGCCGGCCCAGGGTTTGAACGACGTGCTGGCACCGCGGCGCAGCAACACACTCCCGGCACTGGAAAGTGACCGTCGCTGTCCTCCGGAGCGAGAATTCTGCTGTATCATGATTCTGCACAAAGGCTGTGGCACAGAACCAGAACCCGCCGCAGGGAGCTGCGTCGCTCCCGCAACACGTGCTTCGCCACTGCTCACTGGAGACACGGTGACGCTGCCCCTCCCGAGGGCCGGCCCTCCACGCACCGAGCGGGGATGCGGGAACCTGCTGCCTGAAAGCTCCTCTTGAGGCCTTGTGCAAACAAAAGGTGCTCTGTCTGCCGCAGACCCCACCGCAGCCAGCAACCATCCCCCCCATGCTCGCTGCTTCCAGAATGGCCAAAGCGATCCTCTGCTGCTCAGCCAGAGTTAAGCAATCAGTATGCATTTAAATGTTTCTTTCTGCATCATGCAGCATAACTAACACCCCAAAACCTGCTTTCTTATGGAACTTCTGTGAAATAAAAGGCAATTTTTTCATATTTCTCTGTCAAATTTTAAGAAGCTTGGAAGTTTAACTAGGTGCTGTAAACCATCCAGTGCTAAAAATTCCAGCATCTGTCCGATTCCACCCCTAGAACACATATCCAGACACTGAAAATTCCAACACACCTATAAGTCACAGCATGATAAAAGCCAGTTGGTTCCAATTTCATCAAATTAAGTAACATGGTACAGAATGTGTTGTGAGTTTTATGTACCCTTTTGTAGCTGGTGCTTTTGGGAGAGTCAGTTAACTTGAATTTTACTTTTTTTTTTTAATATATTATATGTAAGAAATATTGCAACATCATTACTACCTCATTATAAGGCTTGTAGCCTGGCTGCACATTTGACTAGACTGTTGGTTGAGCAAAGCAGAAGAAATTGTATTTTATCAAAATTAAATAACAACGTGGCCAAAACACCAACCCTGTTATTTCTCAAATCAAGGAGTATTATGTGGACCCTGACACCTGACAGGCTGAAAAAATTATTTGGTCATAAATCCTCTGAAGTACAGAAAAACGCTTTTAAAGACCTTCTAGAGAACATTTTGCACATAAGCTGTGCTCATTTTTCCTCTGATATGCACAAATTTAGTGCTAATACAGCTTAGACTCACAAACAGCCTTTTCTTCATAACAGTATCACAGTAACTCCTGAACTTAGGTCCACACAATTAGCTAATCAGAGTATTGCCTCTTGCAAAGTATGGAAATAAATTTAGAAGAAACATGACACAATAAATTTTTTTATAGCTACATTTATTACAGCAAAGAAATTAGAAGCCTGAACAAAATTACATTTAAAGCAAAGTTAAATAGCTAAGTTGTAATGCCAGGAGGTAACACTGACCACAAGAACAACCTCTGAGAGTCCGACATGGAAGGTCCTCTGTCACATGCATCAGTCTCCTCGGCACCACCAGATGTAATGGCTTGCCTCAGGTAAGCCAGGCATGACTAACCTGTGCAGTTTGTCGCTGTTCTCTTTAGAGCAGATGTCAGCTAAGACATGTCACCATACAAGTTTTACTGGCTATCACAGTACACCTGTGATAATTATATTATTTTCACAAATAACAAGGGAGGTTGACTTTTCTGTGGTTGTGTAACCCTCTCTCCCTGCAGCGCTAGTTGAAGGCTCCCCAAAGTTTACCTGCCTGTACACAAAGCATCACCTCTGGTACAGCACAGCTGTATACCCTTGACTCAGACTGCTGAGAAAGAGCTGTGGAAAAAGTCTGTAGAAAGGTAACAAGTGTAAAATTAAAGCCCCTGTTGAGACAGGGGTTCTTAAGTAGCTCATGAATTCAGGAGGGCAAACACCAATTTGGAAAGGTATAAAATCTTGAAGGGAAAAAAAAACAACCGTGAGGCTAGTTAGTCTAACCCTTCTCCCACTGCTGCCTGCCTGGCTAGGAAAGACTCTTCAAGTGCCTTATCAGGGTGGTGAGCATTTAACCTTATAGCTTCTTAAGTCCAGAACATCTTTCGTGTGTAGTAGCCAATTAATAGTAACTTTTACGTGCTGTATGTTCCACTTGCAGAATCTCTTTGTGTCCAGGTAAAGATGCCCAAAGGAGCTGATTCAAAAGACGGGTAATAACCATAGGCATAGTATAAATCCAACCAAACAGAAAACCCACAGAAGACAGGCTTCACCAGCTAACAGTGAACACCAAACTTTTCAGCAGCTGTACATTAGGTTTCCATGTGAACACCATCACCGTGTTTAGGGGAAGTATTTTCTCTTGATTTCCTGAGATACACTGCAGTTTGTATGTCATGCTGTTTGTATGTCTGTCATCTAATTTTTGCTCAACATCTACTAGCCTTGGCTTGTGCACAGACCATAAACTGTTCCAAACTATCTTCTTGTGCATTGTGAATGTGACAC